TTAGTGGCTGTATCCTCAAGGAGGGTTGAAGTAGCGTAAAATTATTTTCCCCCTATGAGGGTACGTAAGTCCAAAAACTTTGAAAGTCAATTTAAACTAACCAGGATTTTTAAACGTAGTATTCTTGTTATTTTAATTTTGGCTAACATTTCTTATAATCGCCAACGGCTGAAGGGATGGTGTAAATCCAACTAGGGTCCATGCAGGTAGCAAAGGTACTGTAAGTCCCCATGGTCCCTAGTATAGTGATCTACCTTCTGTTGTTGGGTATCTATAGCCTGATTTTATATTGTATTGTCCCAATAGTGCTATTAGTTTTAAACTTTCCACGCTAGTTTTAATTCTAATTGTGATATTCTAGTTGTTTTACTGTCGTTATTCGACAGGTTTTTATAATATACATATATTTCATTTCAATATCAAATGTTCTCGTCACGATATGGCTGAAATATTGCCGATGTGACGTTAAATATTAACTCACTCACTCACTCTCTTCCCTACTACATAAACGGAAGCGACAAAACCTTTTCCACATCTGCTAAAAGCAGAGTCGATTGTAGAATTGTGACTATATCATGAGTATATATTTGTTTCAGCAACATTACTGCTGAACGATGTTGTTTGTTAACAAAACGAATCTGATAATGGGGAAGATTATAATGAAATATTTTCTATTCATGAGTTCTATACTGCTCTTGAACACGTTCGCTATGCTGCTACAGGAGCTGATGACATACATTCTACCATGACTTCAGTGATTAGTTGATTAAAGTCATTCAGAGGTCTATAATCACGTTATACGCCTCTGATTTTCCAACACAGTATGTATATTTTAAAATCTTAATAACGCGGTTATGATAGAATGGAGAAATAATATTAAGTATTTATATACCTCTGATTTTCTGACAAAGTATGCTTATCTCCTAATTATCCCTTCAGACAGCACTGAAAACAGCATCAAATGGTTTCCGAAATTTTTTACAACACATTATTTTATGTTTTTGTCTAAATGTAAGAAAGTCAATTAAATAACTTTAAATCTTCAGTAACCCATGCTTTTTAAGCGCTGCTCCAGCTATATGGCGGCGGTTTGTAAATAATCGAGTCTGGCCAGACAATCCGGTGATCAACAGCATGAGCATCGATCTGCGCAATTGGGATACGATGACATGTGTCAACCAAGTCAGAGTGAGTTTGGTATTACGCCGCTTTTAGCAATATTCCAGCAATATGAAAGCGGAGATGGGCTTCAATGCTATTGCTGGAATATTGCTAAAAGCGACGTAAAACCATACTCACCCACTCATCCTAATGCCGTGTCTTTCCTATTGTCGCGTTCGGGGATTGAACCCACACTGCCTACCATATTGTCATGACGACCACTGAGTCAGTGCCGTTCTAGATTTAGATCCCTCCCGTTTAGTTACACTCATATAATATACTAACCGTTAAGTTAGTCGACGCACGTATTGATTAAAGTACTGTCGGAAATGCTAGAAAAATGCTTTTTAGCCTTAATACTTTGATAAAGGTGATAAATGTACTATGTTGTCAATATATCAACTCGCATATAGTGTACCTAATTTTTATTTCAATCGATTTAACATTCCCATGCATTTAAAGGCCAGTTTACAGGAGAGAATATGGTACCAAAACAACAACTTAAGATTTTTTCTGAGTTCAACAACAGAAATCTGAAATAGTCTTTACATTTATGCTAATAATACAGGTGGTGTAAAAATATGAATCAACGTTTTTCTTTAACAAATAAATGTTGAATGTTTGTGTTATTTTACTTAATTATCGTTTCTTTATTGAAGAAATATTAATATAAATGTTAAGTCTTGATAAAAAAGTTTCCCGTCTTGCATGCACATCTTTATCACAGCGTCCACTATGGCCAATTATTTGCAGTCAATTGTTGCAAAGGTTTATAAGTTTTTTGTGCTTGAAAAAGACAGAGGTAAACCTTTCATTAGTTTAGAAAGGGTTTATTACAGAACTTGTAGAGCTGTTGGTATGTCTTGCCAACAAGTTTACAATATTGTACACAAATCAGACAAGACAGAGACAGTCTCAAAAGCATTTACGACGGTACTTTAGTCAGTTTAATGTTATGCTAATGTTATTTAGAAGCTTACCTTTGATCAGTAATACCCCATTATCAGTGCTGAATATTGTTTCAATGATATCGAAAGAGATGACGTATTTTTCTGTGATGAAGAACAAAAAGGATTGCTGATTACTGATAGTAATGTCAGATATTATTAGATGAACTGTTATTCTAAGTGACCGCGTCATACATTATCTCATACTCACTCATAGTGAATATATTAAATTAGAATCAGCTATGTTTCATGCTGATATACATTCAACAGTAATGGAAGTCGAGTATAGTGGGAGAGAAGTCGAGCAATTGTACACCAATGTCAGTACAAAATATAAGCGACAACATTGCTATTTCCATACTCACGAGGAATCTCTTGATTTATATAATTTCGATTATATCATCAGCGAGCATTTTTTTATTTTCAGTGATGATACAGGGTGGTCGCGAAAGGAAATGTACTCAGAGGCAAAATTTCGTTTGACATGCAATTTTTCATTTGCATTTAATGATTTTTTTATTTGAACCATAGAAAGAGTGTGCTGTAAGTCTCGGAGAAAGTCATCACGAAATTTGCAATAATTTGTCGTCTAACTCCGCACTCAGCAGCAGCACTTGCAAGGGACGTAGACAGAAAGGTCAATACTGGGTCTTCCGAAGCAATGTTTTCTTCGCTTGTGAAAGTTCTAGGTGTCTGGATTCGTAAAATAACTTTAGTTTCATCTGCGCATGATTGGAAACAATCAAAAGTACATTACTCCAGAATGTGATCAGATGTTTTGTAGGTCTTTACAAAACGCAAGAAGTTCAGAATACAACTGCTCGCATCGTTTATTTAAAAAGCAAGTCGATAACTCATTTTCTCAAATCCCAACATTTGTTTCCTGTTGCATCTCGTATTGACTTTAAACTGCTCTGCTTTGTCTACATAATCTTGCGCCAACTTATCTCACTGATCTCATCACACAATTCACCCCATCCAGAACTCTTTGATCATCCCAGAACCAGCTCCTGTTAACAGTCCCCAAGATCCGCTTAGCTCCATTGGGCAAGCGATCATTGTGACATGTAGCTCCATGTCTGTGGAATTATCTACCTTTCAACATTAAACTTTATGATTTTCTCACAAGTTTCAAATCTCGCTTGAAAACCTATCCTATCAAGAACACTTATTACTAACTCTTCAAACCCGCCATGCATAATTTGTATATTTCTCGTTGATTTCATGGTAGCGCCTTGAGCATACACAAGTGGAAAAGGGCACGTTATGAATGTCCATATTATTTATTATTGTTTATTATTACATCTTTCGAACCCTCATTCTCAGTGTGAGGCACCCAATCGCCAGGTATAAAAGTAACTCAGACGAATCAAGATTCAACTTAAGCTTCAACGATGGAAGACGTCGAATCTATCGACGTCAAGGCGAAAGACTAGCGCCGACCTGCATTGCTGAAGTGGACCGATTTGGTGTCGGTAGCGTCACGATGTGGGGGAACATACATGTAGACTGCAGATCACCCTTGCTTGTAATCCGTGGAAACCTGACTGCCCAGGGGTACAATGACAACGTTCTTTGGCCAACGTTGCTCCCACTGATGGCAGTGGGCAATGGACATGGTCAGCTCATCTTTCAACACGACAACGCCCGCCCCCATACAGCAAGGTCACGCAGGCCTTCCTACACAAAAACCAGGTCACTGTGATGAACTGACCACCTCGATCTCCGGACATGAACCCCATCGAGCATATGTGGGATGAGCTCGGTCGCAGAGTTCGAGCCCTTCCAAACCCAATCCAGACCATTGCAGAGCTGACAGCAGCTCTCCAACAACAGTGGCAAGTTATTCCACAGAGATCGTCTATGCGCAGAATACTGAAAATCAGTGACTGCCTTAGCTTGACAGAGGGCTGCCTTAGCTGTAGAGGTTTTGTGTTCTTTTATACGGGCGTCAACGGGACGGGAGGTTTCACCTATATAAGAATCACCACATTCACAGTTAATCTTGTAAATCACTCCTTTGGGGGGTTGCTTAGTGGAGGGTGGTTTACGGCCATTGGCCTGGAGAATGGTCCTGAGGGTTGGAGAGCCAGAGAAGATGGTGTCGATACCTGCATGGTGCTTGAGAAGTCCACCTTCCTATACCTTATCTACTGAAATCTACATGACCTATTTCCCTCAAAGGGGGTTAAAGTACTGTAACATTATTGTCCTCCTGAGAGGGTACGTAAGTCCCAATACATTCGAAGTGGATTTAAACCTACTACCATTTTAATCGTAGCATACATGTTCGTTTAATTTGTGGCTAGATTTTCAAAAATTGCTAATAGCTGAAGGGATGGTGTGAATCCAGCTAGGGTCCATGCAGGAAGCAAATGTACTGTAAGTCCCCATGGTCTCTAGTATGGTGATCTACCTTCAGTTGTTGGCGATCTATAGCCTACTTTTATATTGTGTTGTCCCCAATAGTTAAAATATTTTAATTTTACTTACTAGTTTTACTTGTATATCTGTGATATTCTAGTTGTTTTACTGTCATGAGTATATATTTGTTTCAGCAACATTACTGCTGAACGATGTTGTTTGTTAACAAAACGAATCTGATAATGGGGAAGATTATAATGAAATATTTTCTATTCATGAGTTCTATACTGCTCTTGAACACGTTCGCTATGCTGCTACAGGAGCTGATGACATACATTCTACCATGACTTCAGTGATTAGTTGATTAAAGTCATTCAGAGGTCTATAATCACGTTATACGCCTCTGATTTTCCAACACAGTATGTATACTTGTATCTATTCCATTTCAATGTAAAATGTTCACGTCACGATATGGCTGAAATATTGCCGATGTGACGTTAAATATTAACTCACTCACTCACTCACTACATGACCCATTTTAAAGAAAAAGCCCTGTCCTCCTCCCCGATCCAACCTGTGTGCTGGTATAGGAAGGTGGATGACACCCTTGTCGTCCTCAGAAAGGACAAATATCCCACCTCACTACTCCAGCACCTCAACACCCAACATTCCAGGATCAAGTTCACCATGGAGACAGTGAACGACAACAAACTCCCCTTCTTAGATGTCCTTGTTTCCAGAGACCCCTGCAACAAGATCCAAACCACGGTCTACAGAAAACCCATCAATTCCGACCAGTACATTCATTTCAACTCTACCCACCCCCCTAAAACCAAGTCTGGTGTCATCTCAACCCTCACAAGGCGCGCCAAGAAGATTTGCTCCAGGAGCGATGACCTAGAGCATGAACTTAACCACCTACAACGTGTCTTCACCAACCTCAACCAGTATCCCACCAAGCTAGTCAAGAGGACCATCGCCATCACGCTCCAGGACAAACCCAAACTGACGAAGCATTAAGCCGCCCCCATTAGGATTACCCTTCCTTATATTGGCAAGACATCCCACCAAATCAGCAGACTTCTCAAGCACCAAACATGTATCGACACCATCTTCTCTGGCTCTCCAACCCTCAGGACCATTCTCCAGGCCAATGGCCGTAATCCACCCTCCACTAAGCAACCCCCCAAAGGAGTGATTTACAAGATTAACTCTGAATGTGGTGATTCTTATATAGGTGAAACCTCCCGTCCCGTTGACGCCCGTATAAAAGAACACAAAACCTCTACAGCTAAGACAGACAGCAAAACAGCCCTCTCAGATCACCAGCAAAAGTTCCCTACCCATCAAATCAAGTTTGACGAATTCGAAGTCCTATCAACCAAAAATCAGGACTTCACAAAAAGAAAACTGTTGGAAGCCATCGAAATCCGCCGCCACAAACCTTTGATCAACCGTGACCAATGATACTACATCCCATCAGCCTATGAAGAACTAATCAAGCTATACACCATCAATAGCACCCTGTCTATTTGTTGTTACTACTTAATCCCCCTGTTTATTGGCTTCATCACTGGTGCTATTTGTTGTTTTAGTTCCCTACTGCCCTCTTCCAATTATGTACCACTTGTTATTTCTATTACATGCTGTTGTTAATGTTAATCTGCTGCTTGTCACAACATACCATGTACATATGCTCCTCACCATTTGGTTGTACTCACTTTTAGCTTGATAACGATGTAAGAATATACATCGAAACGTCGCTCAACGCAAATAAACCAGAAGTTGTCATCCATAAAGTTGTATGTTTCATTTATTTCATCACATGTTTTACACGTGTCACTCTTCAAACCAATGTTGAGTCCTCAACGATAATACGTCGATACTTGTCACTAGATAGAGTCTGGCAGTTATTGCTGACACAATACACATCTCTGTAGTTTCTGTAGCATGCTCCAATAGTGTATTCGAGACTGTAGCTACTCACTGTTTTAACAATATTGTTTAGTCTTCCTCTAATATGGTATAATCCGTGAGATGCTAAAATGCTTGCTTGCATACCTTTACTCGTCCCTCTGAATAGAGTAAATGACAGAACAGTTTCGTTTGCTGCTTCGTGCATATCTTTTTTTCCTTTTGTTACAATACGACATGGTTTTGATGTTGGTTACCAAGTCATGTTGGAATTCTGGAACTCAATGCAGCACTCAACAACATCTTTGAAACCACTTTTCATCCTATACACTGATTAAAAACCTACGATTAGAGCTTATATTCGTGATCTTACTCAAACGAAGTGGACAATCAAGTAGGACTGGGTTGTCAGTCCAGATTCGAGTCTCAATGCGACGGTTGCAATTCGCATACGCTCATGAATATGTATTGAAGGGTGATGACAGAATTACAGTCAAGCATGTCCAGATTGATTGTGTGGATATTCCTATTACAGTGGACACCTTTTTCAACGTTTCAACCACGAGGGATCATGTTAGTATACATTCTCATTTAATTATTTTTTTGAAAGGAAATTGTGTTGTTTCACAAATTTTGATCAATATGTTTTGTATATGATAGATGTCTTTTATGATTAGTAGAATATATATGGTAACTGATATTGTTAGTGGCTGTACCATCAAAAGTTGTGTAAAATAAATGTCCCCCTGAAAGAGTACTAAGACCACGTCATTGAAAGTATATTCATTCGTACCATAATTTTAAACGTAGAATATATGTTCCTTTATTTCACGGCTACATTAGTCAAAATCGTCATCATCAGAGTGAGTTAATATGGTTTTACGCCGCTTTTAGCAATATTAAAGCAGTATCATAGCTGGGGAAACTAGGAACAGGCTCCACATATTGTTCCCATGTGGGGATCGAACCCGGGACAAGCCAAGGTTTTAACCACAAAGCTACCCCACCGTCCCGCTAACATCTGAAGGAATGGTGTAAATCCAGCATTGGGACTATGCAGGTAGCAAAAGCACTGTATGATCTTTAGATCAGGAGCAAAAGCTTGCTTTTGTGTTTGCCACTTCTTTGAGAACAATTCTATTTCATGCTAAACTATTGTATGAACATTTTGTTTAAGCTCAATTGGGCCCTTAATTGTCCACCCATGCCTGTAAATTACGCCAAAAGGCCCTTCACTTTAAAGTAGAACGACGATAGTTGTTTAACGCTGCATTCAGCCAATTATCAGCTATATGAGGGCGTTGGTTAAATAATCGAGTCTGGACCAGACAATACAGTGATCATCAGCATGAGCATCGATTTACACAAATGGGATACGAAAGATCCTGCGCCTCGCCTTGCAGCTTTTGATCTAAGTAGTAAAGCTTATCAGCATCGACCTGTGTGTGTGGAACAATTCGAGCACCGTATGCCATCAAGAAAGCAGCAATTTCTTTTGGGTCTACTTAGACATTTGGCACTTCCGGTTGCGACAATAGCGTGGCATCCGTCTTTGCGCTGCTATGAAAATAAGGTTTGTAAATACACATTCATGATTTTGAAAAAACTTCTTTGAAATATTTCTAATTTCTGTCACAAAATCATTTGCACCAGGATTTAACCTTGGCTTCGAGGAGTGACCGGTATTGTGATGTAGATGACTGAAGTTTCAGTAGGTTTCATCATTTGCCGGGATGGCTGGTCAGTGCAGTGATTTGCAGATTTGAAATGGATCTGTTCATCACTCATATGAGGTGTACCTTCTCATGTGAAAGGACAGATCTGATTTATCTCACTGTGTTTTGTACCTGGCATCTTTACCTTCGGCTCAGCGTCAGTGAATATCTGTTGTACGGATGATCTCAATCAATGTCAAGTTCATTTCAACTACGTTTCATGCATAGATGTCATGCATCATCGAATGGAGCATTGCTTCTCCCGCACGAAGATCAACAGGTTTAGCTTCCTCGAATATTTGAGCAGACCTTGCAGAGCCAATAGTACAATATTTTAGAATTGCCCGAATGCTTTGATGGTCCACTGATTACAGATTCTCTGTTAATTTGATCAGACAGCTTACGTTCGACACGTTGGAGCCAACTCATGATCAGATCTCGGAATAGATGAATTTGAATGCTGGTGAATAGTTTGAACAAAAATAGTGTTTTGATTTGATTAAAATATCATAAGGTATCAAGGATTGCTATTTTCTACAGATCCAAAAGAACATTTTCTGTGAAGATACGGTCCATTGTGGAATAACCATCTCAAAATCAAGCTTGTGCCACAGTTATAATAGAGTGCAAGTTTCAGAATTCTGATAGACGAGCGTTGTGTCGGTTCCTTAACACAACTGATGAGGCTGATTCTGAGGATCTTTGTTGTTGGCTTTAATTTTATAAAGAGTGCAGATAATGCCTCATCACATAGACGTCCAGTACAAAATAAAAAGTTTACATAAGTTTTGCTTTGATGTTCTCAGGTTTATCAAATGATTCTATCGACAATCCAATCTCTCTTTGCATTATATTATCTCCATGCATTCAATCAATTTGCAAAATCTCATTGAAGTTGTCTGTGGGTGGTAATATTCTCCTTTCCGCAGGTCCTTCCAATATCCTTTTCTGGATTCCCCCGCCGTGATATTGCTGGAATATTGCTAAAGTCGGCGTAAAACTGAACTAACTCACTCCTTACAATATTAATTTTCAAGAAAACATTATTGGCATATAATTGAAGTATTATTAATTTGATTGTCTGCATTTGGTCATCTTACTGTTTATCTAAATGTGTCATATTGTCTCGTTAGCAACGACCCAAGTAAATATTACAAATTCGAAATAAATGCATCTCCAACCCGAGTTAAGCTATCAGCAGTTTGAACGGACAGTTTAGTCTACACTCAAACAGTATACCAGTGTTCTGCACACAGACATTTTCCTCTAACATTGCGAGAACACCTGGAGCCTTTGCTCAGTCAACCACTTGACGACGTCAAGGTATTCATGTGTCTTGAATAACCGTCACGTGACGCCACACAGGTATATATGTAAACCGCTTTTGACATTACAGAACAGTTTGTAATGTCAACCCCCGTGTCTGTGCGACAAAGAACTGTGAACATCAGTGAACAGACACACTGGAGGGAAGGAAAACCTCTGCCTGTTTAGAGACATAGGTAAGTTGTCAGTTATGTACGTCTTTCTTCAGGGGGTCATTTCAATGCGTGAACGAGCGACAGAGGGAGAGAGAAAAAATGCGTTGTATCCTCCAGAAGATCATCCGAAGATCAAACATACTATATAAATACAGGAAAGGGAACAAAGCTACAAAATTGATATAGATGTATACACAATTACTTTAATCAAGATGATTACCTAAAGCAATAATTTACATAAAAACATACATGTACATGTGTATACAATTGATTTATACAAGAAACTTCCGAAGATGGGCATACATCATTATACACTAGTTAATACATCAGCAAAGGTCAACCAGTGTGACATTGTAGGAGAAGTCGCCTTCTTCGGCAAATGTATAAATAAAATCTTAAAATAATTGTTTCCGATGTCCATGGCCTATTGATCAACATTTTCATTAAAAGCAGTTTCACCTCCAAATAGAAAAGAGAGCGCATCGAGTTAATCCTGTAATTCAAAGGCAACATAGATTTCCACATCAAGAATGTAAATCATAAACACAAAAAATAATCGTTTCTCTCAAGGTTAAGTTGTTCACAGTTTAGGAATATATGAAACTCATAACCATAAGTATATATGTTATACAGGTTACATACCTTAGATATTTTACCACGTGTATACCATGTATTTTAATACATATTTGGAGAGCAGATATATAATTGTGATGTAAGTGTGTCAATTGCCAGAGAATATGACAGTTTAACTTGCAAAGAACGCGTGCATAAAGCGTCATGTTTTTATAAATTGAGGTTTGCATAACCCATCTGTGTTCTTCATAGCTATGTACAGATGTATTTACAATTTTTCGCCATTCGTACTTTGAAGGGAATACACCCTCCTTAATATATTTTTCTATGTGTACATATGCTAGCCATCAAAAGTTTAGACTCACTTAAAGCTTTCACTATATGTTATGTATATATATATATATGTGGTTACATCGAAGATGAATTTCTCCCCTAACCTAGGTGAACTAACTGCAAACCTTTTGCAGATGAATTGCACGAGGGTCATGCGTCAAATCGCTGAAAGGCATGTGCAAATATCGTGCATGTGAACAGCTGCGTTTTGCTGTAAAGTTTTGTTAAGAATTCATCAATTTTCACTGAGTTTCATCATTTATTGAACTTATGACAATAATCTTTTCAACGCTACGAATTTGTTTTACAATACATCAGTGCATGTGTAAACAGTACCTTCAAACAGTATGGCATATTTTGCAAAATCTAGTTTAGAACAGTTGCCTGAAGTAAGTGGCTATATTTACACTAGTGAGTCTAAACTTCTGATGGGTAGTATATAAATTATATTTATACTAGAGTACTGATAGTAGATCATCACAGATTGAAGGGGATTTTGTAAGGATGAAGATACCTTTTTTATGACAGGAATTTATGGATGTCAACTTCTTTATTTTTAGCAGCATAGCATTTCAGAGTATATTCTTAAAACGTTAAAACGTTAAGTATAGTTAGGGAGTATAAATAAAGATTTTTGCATTGAATGAGATGAGGGGGACGGTGTGTATGTGTGTGTGTGTGTGGGGGGGGGGGTGGGGATTTAGTGTGTTATAGTTAAGGGTATCACAGCAAAAATAACTTGGTTTCCGCAATGCGGAAACCTGGTGGAAAGTGGACTGAAACTTAAGTTTCCACCTAGAATCCAGTGAGTTTCCGTTCTTTTACATTGAGTTTCCGCAATAACGGAAAATTACAATTACCCACTTTCTAAGGGTTTCCGCAAGGTTTCCGTTACCCACACTCCAACAGGTTTCCGCAAGGTATCCGTTACCCACACTCCGACAAGTTTCCGTTGAGTTTCATTAACTTTGAATCCATCAGGTTTCCGCAAGGTTTCAGTTATTAATAAGACTCCAACAGGTTTCCGCATAGTTTCAGTTACCAACAATCCGACATAGTTTCCGCATAGTTTCAGTTACCAACAATCCGACATAGTTTCCGCATAGTTTCTGTTACCGGTTTCAATTTCAGGTTCACAGGTTTTCAAATGCGTTTCAAAGAGCCAAATTTAAATATTCTTCTTTATTCATATCATAAACTCTTGTTAAAAAACAATATAAGCAATTTGTTATCATGACATTTACTTAAAGAAAAACAGAATATATAATAAGATTCCTTGTTTTATTTTCTCAACATGAATATGAATTAGCATTTAAGGCAAATAAAGATCATACATATAACTAGTAATATAGCACTAAAGGACAGGGCAAAACATTTTGGCATAACTCAATCAAGTTTAAGAAATCATATATCATTTATAACAAAGTAGTAATTTTTCATCAGTAAAACTTTCATTCAATTATTATCTTGAAATAGCATGTTAGATATGAAATTTATTTCTAAAATCATGCTAATGGTGAAAAATAACATTAACATACAGCTTAACACAGAAATAAAACATAGCTGCATCGGACATTTTTTTGCACGCCTTGGCATTCAGCCACACACTCTATGTCACAACTATCGCCAAACATCCACTATGATATACATCATACAAATAACACAACATACAGCTTACAATACGAAATAAAATAAAAATTACATTACGAAATTGAAAATAAATTCAATTATATTGCAAGAGTTGGTCAGTTAGCCCAATAAGGGGCATCCCTGGGCGGAGATCCCTCCGGTTGATTGGATGCCTCATCCTCGTCCTCACGTTGGCCATGACGAGAGCAGTGGAGGTGTAGATTCTTTCCAAGTCCAGTGTCGTCGTGTATGCCCTAAGCTTGCTGGACTCCCAGACAAAGGGGACGGCATGCAACTAATTGACGTCATCTTCGTCACTCACGACTGGTGATGTCATGTCTATGGTGAGTGTTGTCGCTACCTTTTTCTTTCGTCTATCTGGCCAATCGATAGATGCAAGTCTGTTTAGGCGTTGTGCAAGTTTCTGAAAATGGCAGGTAATAACGAATTACTAGGTTATTTTGATAAATTACACAAACATCAATCAACAAGAAACTGACAATGCCAAGGATGATTTAAAATGAGTAATGCAAAAGGAAGTTTGAATAAAAGAGAACTAAATTGAACAATCACACTTTGCACTAGTTTTCTCAAAACTCAAATTATGAAATTCATCACACTTCATTGACCGAATGAAATATCTTATTTTCTAAAGAGACACACAATCTATACAAAATTTGCTCTGACGTTACATGCTTCCCAGTCCAGAGGTAGTAATACGTTATATATATATATATATGAACATTTATTGCATTTTCTATATAGTAATAATGATACTAGTAATAGATTTTCATCAAATTGCTATATTCAATTTCTTACAGTTCGTATTGAGCCCTTTTCTGGTGTCCCCCGCCGTGATGTTGCTGGAATATTGCTAAAAGCGGCGTAAAACCAAACTCAGTCAGTCAGTCGTATTGTTGAAGGCACAAGTATATTCCCCCAGTAGTGACTGTATGTTTTTGAGGTGTATTTAGAAGTGAATAATGCAAGGCATGAATGTTTACGGATGACAACGTCTTGTGAAAACACAATGTTTCGGAGTGAATGCTTACACCTGACGAAGGGGTAAGCATTCACTCTGAAACATGTTTTCACATAATAAAGGAGTTGACATCCATAAACCTTGTCTCTACACTATTAATTGGAAATTATTTACTATTTATAATGAAAGTCACTACAGATAGGTCAAAATTACCTTCACATGTTACTGCTGACCATCCTTGATCATTTGTTATACAGTCTCCAGACTCATCATCAGCTTTGCTGAAAAAAATAAACAATAACACGTTACTTTTCTTTGCATTTCCCCATTCATTCATTCGAGTTTTAAAAAAACATTTATACCAACAAGCAAACTACAGATTTATCACTTTAGGTTATGCAATCAGTAAGTGAACGGCCTGACATAAACATCCTGATGAATGAAGTTTAGTTATCTCATGTGACATAACCTTGGAGTAATTACGGTATTGTAAAATCAAGGGGTCAGTTTGACTGCAATTTCACACAGGTGTGAAGTTATGATTTATTTGGTCCAATTTGAAATCATGATTAAGTTACCGGTTATTCAAATCCATTTGCAAATGTAACTTTAGTATGGTTCATTTTGTGAAAATGTATCTAGGGAAGCATAATAATAAAATATTCAAAGTGAAATTTTGTCTATGTTTCGTAGTACCATAAACGAATTACCCCGGCCCCTGGATATTTAACCCAAACCGTCCCCGCACCCGAACCGGCCCCTGGGTTAATTAACGATAATCAGACAGACAATTAATCAGACAGACATGAAGATTTCAGTTAATTTATTATATATATACAGACATGAAGATTTCAATTAATTTATTATATATATATAGACATGAAGATTTCAGTTAAATTATTATATATATATACAGACATGAAGATTTCAATTAATTTATTATATATATACAGACATGAAGATTTTACTTTAGTATTGTTTTGCAATTGATCTTTTAGATTCTTAAAAGAATTACATAAAATGTCCTCTACCACGGGATCTCCGTGATCAGCAGCACTTGCATGTTCACTTGCCTCTCATCGACACTAATATTCGCTAATATATTTTCAAAAATCGATATTACATACCTTCAGTAAGAGAGGGTGATCTTTTCCTCCAGTAGTAGTCGTGACACATGTTTCCTCACAAAAGCCTAAATGAATAAAACAAATCCATTAATATATAATCTATTTGCTATATTTTTTCAAAATTGTAGTATATTTTTAGATAGACTTATTTTACTTCACCAACCTTAGTTCGAGCAAAACAGTTTATACAGTCATGGGACTTAAATATACGTCCGTCGGCAAAATTCTCATAGACTTGCATGCTATTTTAGTGTAGCTGTGTAATTTTCATTAATTCAGTTTTCCATATTTGGTTGTCAAATTTTGCAGTTTGTTAGGAAATCATCTTGGTCACAGATACATACTTTTCCGCATTGTAGTTACATGAGCAACATATA